CTATGTATATGTCTATGTATATGTATGTGTATGTGTATGTGTATATGTATATGTATATATATATGTATATTTATATATATGTATATATATGTATATATTATGTATATATATATATATATATATATATATATATATATATATATATATATATATATATATATATATATATATATATATATATATATATATATATATATTTACATACATACTTTACATACATACTTTACATACCTACACATATATGCACATACATACATATAGATAGATAGATAATATATATATAAACACACAACACACACACACACACACACACACACACACATGCACATATTGTATATATTTATGGGTAAATGTATAAATAGACGAAATATATTCAAATGTCACACAGAAGTCCAAGTCTTATTTAGAGAAATGACCTTTACAAAGTTAGACAAGGTCATTTTAAGACGGATGTTTTTAAATAGACTTTTGAAATACTTACGGATCGTGTTATTTTAAGGCCTTTTCCGGGTTAGAGAGAACGGAAATGATGCGATGTCGGCCCCTGTGTCCGTGGAAGACCTGCAGGAGAGAGAAGGACTCGGGGCAAATCGCCTCTGGGTCGGGCTGGGCGAAGTTCCTCCTCAGCCTCGTATTTTTTTCTTCTCCATCTCTATTCTCCTTCCTCCTCCTTTCTTCCTCTCTTCGTCACATCGGCGTTGCCCTCCTCCTCCTCCTCCTCCTCTTCCTCTGCTCTTCTTCCTTCTCCTCCTCTCTCCTCCTCCTCCTCTTCTTCTCTGCCTTGCTTCTCCTTCTCCCTCTCCTCCTCCCCCCTCCTCCTCTCCTCCTCCTCCTCCTCCTCCTCCTCCTCCTCCTCCTCCCTCCTCTCCCCTCTCCTCCTCCTCCTCCCTCCTTCTCCACCTCCTCTCCACCTCCTTCTCTCCTCTCCTCCACCTCCTCTCCTCCTCCACCTCCTCCTCCTTCTCCACCTCCTCCTCCTTCTCCACTCTCCTCCTTCTCCTCCTAATCCTTCTCCACCTCCTAATCCTTCGCCCCTCCTCTCCCTTCTCCTCCTTTTCCTTTTCCTCCTCTTCCTTTCCCTCCTCATCCTTCTTCTTCTCCTTCTCTTCCTCTCCCATCTCCACCTCCTCCTCTCCCTTCTCCACCTCCTCCTCCTCCTCTTCCTTCTGATCCTTCTTCTCCTCATCCTCTTCCTTTTCCCCCTCCTCCTTCTCCTCCTACTCTTATTCCTCCTCCTCTTCCTCCTCCTCCTCCTCCCCCTCATCGTACTGGAATTGTATAGATAGGGAGAGCGATAAGGAATATGGTAGTAAAAGAAGACTGACCGGGAAAAACGTTCGAAGATAAGATTCAGACAGACCAACAAACAGAAAGGACTGATGAGGACATAAAGAAAAGGGAAGATAGACAGAAAGAGATAGAAGGAGACATAGAGAAAGGTGCAGGCAGACAGAAAGAGACAGAAAAAAGAAGGAGTCATCTAGACAAAGAGACAGATAGGAAAAGGTAGATGAAAAGAAACAGACTGAGGCAGATAAAAAAGGAGACAGACTGAGACAGATAAAAGGAGACAGACAGAAAGACAGACAGATTGGGTGCGAGGCCGTCAGCAGGAGAGAGAGAGAGAGATGACGCGGACGTGTCGGAGGGGGAAATGAGGCTGAGGGAGGTCGCGGCGGGTCGTACGTCACGCTTGAAGGGGAAGCAGAAGAGAAAAGAGGAAGATGGGGAGGGGGAAGGGAACGGAAGGGGAAGATGGGGAGGGGGAAGGGAAAGGGGAAGATGGGGAGGGAAGATGGGGAGGGGAAGGGAACGGAAGGGGAAGATGGGGAGGGGGGAAGGGAACGGAAGGGAAGATGGGAGGGGGAAGGGGAAGACGAAGGGGAAGATGGGGAGGGGAAGGGGGAAGGGGAAGATGGGGAGGGGGGGAACGGAAGGGGAAGTGGGGAGGGGGAAGGGGAAGATGGGGGGGGAAGGGGGAAGGGAAGATGGGGAGGGGAAGGGAACGAAGGGGAAGATGGGGAGGGGGAAGGGAACGGAAGGGAAGATGGGGAGAGGAAAAGGAGGGGAAGGGGAGAGGGAAGGGAGAAAGATTGGGAAGGCAGAAAATATGATTAAATGGCTTGGAAGTAAGCGCAGGAAAGATGAGGTGAGATGAAATATGATGGGATGAGGAGATAGAAGGAAGAGGAGGAGGGGAGAGATGGCGTAGAGAGATAGAGTAAAGGGAGGGTAGAGAAGAAGAGAGAGATAGATAAGGGAAAGAAAGGAGGGAAAGGTCGATTAGTAAGGGGAAGGGGGGTTGGAGATGAAATATAAACAGAGGGAAGATGAATATAAAAAGGATGAGAAGAATGGGGAAGAAGGGGGGGCGATGGGAGGAATCAGTGCATGGCAAAATGGGTGACAGACAGGATGAATCTCTCTGCGTGCATGGCAGCCGTCGAGTCAGGGACGGTTGTCATTGCAGGTCGTGGGACGTGGTCCTGACTCGGGCGGGCGCTAGACTACTCCGTTCTTGTATCGGTTGGCGCTGGCGGAGCACGCAGGTCGGATGGTAGATTGCCCGCGTGATGGGAGCTTTTGAGCAATTTTCGTTTAATCGACGCCAGGCCCGGCATGTACCATCACAGCCGCGTCAGTTAACGGACAATCAGGGGCGAATGTTTAGTCGCACGGGGAACGGGCGAGGGCGAGGGCAATGGCAGGGGAGGCGTGGGGGAAGGGCAGGGCAGGGGTGGGAAGGGGAGAGCAACAGGAGGAGGGGAGGAGGAGCGGGCGGCAGTAAAGGGAAAGAGCGACGGGGACAGCAGTAGGGGAAGGGGGAAGGGGTGGGGGGCAGTAACATTGGTGCATTCAGATGCCGTCGCTCGGCCGCCGTAAATCCAGGCAGAATGGATCTCGTTGCCGACTCCTTCGGGGATGGTTTAACGCGGTGAACGCCACGCCGAATCAGGTTCATTGTGTCGGCCGCCCGTTCCGCGGGTGCATTAGCGCAACGGCCCGCGACACGCAACTCTTCTACCGGGACGCGGATTCGGGCGGTGCGAGGGCGGCGGGCGGCGCTGCGCGGGGACGGGGGAATTATATCCCCGCTAATTGCGTGGAATTGCCTTTATTATAAAAGTGTTTACGCGCGCGATGGGCTGCGTAGTCATCTGATAGTTGTGGTAATTGCGGGGGAACGAGTGGAAAATTATTAGAATTTGCCGAGGGAAACGTTTTATAATACGTTTGTTTTAAATGAAAGTATTTGTTTTATTGGTTTAAAAAAACGCTTCTAAATTTACAGTTTCATTTACCTAATGACATTTTTTTATGAAACTAGTTTCATTTTTGTTATCCTTATTTTTATGGAACTAATTTTATTTTTGTTACCCCTATTTTTTATGAAACTTTTGTTTTGTTTTTTTGTTTTCATTTTTATGAACCAATGTTAGTTTCTTTTTGTTACTATTATTTGTTTGCTACTCTCGCTTGCCCGTCGGGACTCTGGTACACACGCTCTGGGACTTGGCTTTTAGCGTGGGTTCCAGGAGGTAGCTTACGGCCGGCCATTGCTTTGCTCTAAAAAAAATCAAAAGCCGTAGAAAAACGTTATCGCGGGCTCACGTGATCACTTCTTAATGGCACTGGGTGAAGCGGGGGGGGGGGTGAAAGGAGAGAGAGAGAGAGAGAGAGAGAGAGAGAGAGAGAGAGAGAGAGAGAGAGAGAGAGAGAGAGAGAGAGAGAGAGAGAGAGAAAGGGGTGATGAGATAGAGGTAGAGAGAGAAAAGGAGAGGGCGAGTGAGAAGGGAAACTAGAGGGGGGGGGGGGGGGGGTGAGTTAGAACTCGTGAAACATTCAGAGTTGGTCTTGGGAGGAAGACGCCCTGCTACTCGCTGTGAATTATTCCGTGTTGTGTTGCTCGCCTTCTCCCTACAGGCTGAGGTGGGTAAGTAGGGGAGCCACGCACACGCACACCCATGCACGCGCGCACACACACAGTAAGAGAGAGGAGGAGAAGGCGAAGGAGATGAGATGAGATTAATATTAGAAGAGAGGAGGTTTGGGGTTCAGGGGTTCAAGGCTTTACGGTGCCACGCGTATATCATGAACGGTTCACTCGGTGTTGGAACGTTACGTTGAGGAAAGGAAGTGATGTTTTTATTTCTTTGCAGTTTTTGTTATAATTATATGTTTATTATTATTTTTTTATTATTATCATTATTATTAGTGTTATTGTTATTGTTATTGTCATTGTTATTGTTATCATCAGCAGCATAATCAAAATAATTATCATTGTATGTTTTATTTCTTTTCATTAATATTGTTGTTACCTCATCATTATCATTCCCATTTTCTCTCTCTTGGCATTGCTTCCATTTTATCCTGTAGCCATTGCCGTTTTTCACTCTTACCTCTATTATTAATTCATCGCGTGTCGGCCTGGGTTGATCCCGCACTCGACCGGAGATCTGTGCGCCTGGAGGATGAAGAGAACAACATTTTCTTTTCTTCTCCTTCATTCTATCGTTTGTTCCTTCTTTCTTCTTTTTTGCGAAGCGTGAAATTGGTCGTTTGTTTTTATGACTGGAACGCTTTAGTGTATGTAGATTTATTTCTAGTATTTTTATTTTATTTTGTTTTATTAATTTGTTGTTATTGTTATTATTTTTTTGGGTGGGTGGGTGGTTGGGTATTAAAGAATGTGTATTTCTTTATTTTCTGTAAGGCAAGAAATATGTATGTATATTTTTAAATGTTTTTTTCCTCCAAATGTGTCCATGGATATCGACTAACATTTGTATCCTCTCTCTCTCTCTCTCTCTCTCTCTCTCTTCTTCCTCTCTTCTCTCTCTCTCTCTCTCTCTCCTCTCTCTCCTCTCTCTCTCTCTCTCTCTCTCTCTTTTCTAAAAAAAATATGTATATTTATTTTTCACTTCCTTTTCTTCTCCGAACTGTGTCCATAGATGTCGAGCAGCGCACTCATTCCCCGCCCCTCTCTCCTCTCGTTGCAG